TTAAATTTTATAAAGAGCAAAAATTAAATCCTTTTAATAAACATATTATTATTATTATTACTAAGACAGTAACTAACATAAGAGTATTATAGCAAAATAATAGTTCTAACAAGAAGAAAAATTAATGAAATAAAATAAAACAAGAAAAAAATCTTGAAACAAAAATTTACTGCGCAAAAATAATATTCAGAAAAAAAAATTGCATTGTCCTTATATACATATTCATAAACATATACAGAGTGATTCAGTAAGGGAAAAACTTGATATTTTCTAAAATTAGAATGCTTGGTATTCCTAGAGTACATAAAATACAAAATAAAATGATATATTAATTTCAATCCCTTTATTTAGCCCTTTTAAAAACTGTTTGTGTGAACATTTTATATTTTTCGGAATGGGCAAGTAAAAATTTTCGTAAAACATTGTGAAAATCTCTGAATCTCGTAAACCTTTGGGATTCGACACCAAGTTTCAAATAAAAATTTTATCCTTTTTGATATCCTAAATGTTGTTATATAATATTGTAGTCTTTACTGATTCACCCTGTATATATGAATTTTAAGTGTTGAAAATATTGTAATATTATATATGTACATACGTGTATGTTCAATGTATATAGAGTGTTGTGGTATAGTTATTATTTTAAATTAAATGTTGCACTCTTAACCCTAATAAGCACTAAATGTGTACTTGTATAGTAAACATTCCTTGAACTCTTTGGAAAAAAAAATGCAAAACAAAGATAAATAGAAGAAAACAAGAGAATTAATTTTTTCTCATTTTTTTTTTTTTAAAGAAAAATTCTTTATTATTTCATCTTCCATATTCATATAACACACATGTATATATGTTTATATATGTATAATATAGCACATTTTTCATATATGTAAACATTTCTAATGAAATAAGAATTTTATTTTAAATGCGAAGTTTAATTTTTGTATTATACTTATCTTATATACTTATATGTATAGTATTTAATATACATAAGATATCAAATATTTTCTTGTAATCATGTATGTATATATATTCATAGATGTTATATACAAGTATATATGTATGTATTTGTGTAAATAAGTATCATTTTTCTTAAAATCGGATTAAATATTAAAAAAGTTTTACAACTTCAATATATGTATGTATAAAAAGAGAATTTAAATGGATACAGTGTGTGTGTATAACAGTTTAAATTTTAAAATTTTCTTTAAATGTTTATAATGTTTTGAGCCAATCTTTTTACGTTTAGAATGTAATTGTGTTTAAGTTGAATTTTACAGTTTCAGATTTTATTTCAAATTTCTAGTTCCAATTAATTGTATATAAAAATAAAGTTAATGTACAGAGTGTGTATAACAGTTCTTATTCTTAATTTCTCTTTTAACAAAACTGAAAATATGCTGTAAAAGTATAGATTTTTTAATGCACATCTATAAAAATAAAAAATTTATATTGAAAGACGTAAAACTACATGCTTTTAACGCATACTCTGGTTCCATGGAACATTTTTGTATGCATTTATAATGAAATCTAGTTAATGAAATCTAAAATTACTATTTGAAAATCTAGCCGTAAATTTATGAAATCTTTTATTCTCAATTGTTTGATTCTTAATTAATCAATCAAAGTCATTCAATCAATTTTAAATTTTTTTTGGTTCGGTTTTTTTTTACAGTCGCATATCCACACTCTGCAACACAAAATTCAATTTAATAAAAGGTCATATAATTTGGATTTTTAATAGTTTGCATACATGATTTTCTATATATATGTACATATATTTTGTATGTATTACTTAATTTATTTACTTGTTTATTTATTAACTTTACACATTTACCAAAGAAATAAAAGAAAAAAATAGCATCAAAAACTTTTTCTTAAGAATAACGTAAAAATTCTTACTATACGCTTTCCTTGAACTCATTGTACACATCATACATGTACTTATGTAGATACATATATAGGTATGCAAACATTTATGTATATATAGGTATGTACTTATATGTATGGTACAAATTTAATATAGAATTTTTCATAGGATCCTTTTTAAATTCATTTTAATAAAAGGTTTTTTAATAATAGTATTTGAGGACGAAATTCTTATATGTACATAAAAAAGAAAAAGGAAAACAAACAACAATCAAAAATTTTTTAAATTTTATATTAGATTTGTACATTTTATATATATATATATGAAATGTATGTCATTATTTACTCATCTTCACAAGTTTTTTTTTTGCAGGAAAAATAAGAAAAACAAAAAAACAAATTGTTGCATTTTACTGGTATAATCGCTTTATCCATCTAGTAATACATAGCCATACATATATTACGCATACATACACATATATTTTAATTTATTGTTGAATTTCTTAACAACAATCTTCATGTCCTTTTCTCATATGTTCTCAATATTATTTATACATACATAGATTTTACTTTTATATTATTGTATACATACTCGCATATTGTATAAAATTTTGATTTGTTGGCTTATGTTTCTAATAACAAAAACATTTTTCTTTGTTATACCATCACTTTACATACATATGTACATATATATATATTCTTATAATGTTATAATATTTTAGTGTTATTTTGATTATACTTCTGACAGCAAAATGGAACAGCGGTATTTATAGAAAAAGCTCAAATGTAAAATAAAAATAAATGAGAGAAGGAGTGAAAAACACAAAAATAAACAAACACGAAACAAAAAAAAAATATAATATTTTTAACTTTCCTGTTTATGTTTCGCTCAGGCGCACAAATATATGCAATAATAAAATTAAAACGAAAACGTTGAAAGAGAGAGAAATAGAAGAAGGAAACACTGAAATCCTTTATTAAACGTTATACATGATTTTCCATTTTCTTTCAATAAAATTCATTTTCTCTCAAAATTTAAAATCGAAATAAATGTTATTGACATAACAATAATTATGATTAGAGAGAAAAAGAGAATTAAATATTGGAAATTGGAATATAACTGTATAAGTGAAAATATTAAGCTTTGATTCTTTTATTGTTATATCATTTATATTGTTATATTAATTGTATTTATATGCATTCATGTATAATATAGGTTAGTTAGATAATAAATTTTGTATTATTGTATAACAAATTTTCTTATTTTATATTTATTGTTATACAAGTATAATAATATTAATTTTATATCAGTTTTGTAAAATTTATGTGTCGTAGGTTTTTTTTTTTGTAATTTCATATTACATATTTTTTTTTACTTTTGTTTTTTTTTTTTGTCATATCAGAATTATAACACTTTTAAAAAAGGTGTTATCCAATTAATATCAACAAGTATTGTAATTTCTTAAAACTTTAAAGACAATTTATTTATTGAGATAATTTCATATTTAATCTTAATATTGATGTTGGAGAATCAGAATAAAAATTTGAATTACAAGTTCCTCTAATTGTTCGGGTCGGACCTGAAAATTTAAGAAAGTATATAGATTTTTCTAAATTTATATGTACAATTGAATTGTATAAGCTTTTATTAAATATCTGAATTGTATAGGCTTTTGTTAAAATTATTTTAGAATGTAAGTATCATATTGGGAAATTTGTTCAAATTTTTTCAACCCATTTTTCATCACTAGTTTATTAAAATTGTAACTATTCCAAAATAGTAACGGTTAATTGGATTTTCTATCTCAATATGGAATAAATTAAAAAATAGCTTTATAATACCAAAAATTTACAATAATATTTATTAAATACAAGTACTGCCTATTGAGGTTGACCAAAATTAATTTGAATCACTCATTTAAAGAAAACAAAAAAAAAAAAAAAACAATTTAAGATGCTTACAATTACAACAAACAAAAATATAGTTCAGTAATTTGTTGAGTCAAATAATTTTTGACATTTTCTTTTCAGTTTTTATTCTCTATCATTTCTGACATTTATTTTCTTTTTCTTTTCTTTGAACATTTTACATACAGATGCAATACAAATACAGATTGTTCAAACAATTCAAAACAAAATATAAATTTAGAGAGACAATTAACTATGAGAGAAAGAGAGAGAGAGAGAGAGAGAGTAAAATAGGAGAATGATAATAGGTACAAAATTTAGGGAATAAAATAAGCTTTTTAATTTTAAATAATGAAAAGTAAAAATGAAAAACAGAAAACAGTGACAATATTTTGTTTTTTTTTCTAGGATAACAAATTTTTCTTATATACTCTCACAGTATAACATTTTCTTTCTCTCTTTTTTCCAGTAATTTTGTTTTATATTCTTGTTTTTTTTTTTTGTCTTATTTTAGGTATACTTAACAACAATTTTTCTTTTTATTATATTTTATTTTTTTTTTATATGTTTTTCATGAATTTTTCTTACAATTCATTCTTTTTTCTTTTTTGCACTATATAACACTTTGAGGTCATTCGTATTAGTGAAACCATGGGCACGAGGAAAAAAATAATAAAATAGAGAAAAAAAAAATGAAAAAATAAAGCAATTTTAATTCTTTTTTTATAAAAATATTTTCTAAATAACAATTTAATAAAATTATTACAAAAAATATTAAACATAAAGTTTAAAAAAAAATAATTTTTTTAAATTTAATATTGAATAAGTTTTAGAGCTTTAATTTGAAATCTAATATAAAATAAATTTTTGAAAAAAAAAGCATAATAAATTTTAATATAACAAAATTTTTTTTTATATTTCCTTTGTTTTTTTTTTTTTAAATACGTGTGTATTATTATACATTTTTTTTTTCATAGTCATCATTTAAGTATGTATATACATATACATCAGTAATGTGTATTTTATTTTTCGATATTTTCGAATTGAAAAAAAAAAATATATTTAATTAAAATAAATTTCAAAAAGTTTTTCTCTTAAATAAATGAAAATATTTATTGTAATTTTTCTAAAAATTAAAGTATAAAATTAAAAATTTAAGTGATGTTGCAAAAAATGAAAAATTTTGATTAAAAAATAATTTGTTTCACAATATTTTTGTATTAAATAATAAGAAAAATAGTAGAAGAAAATAGAGAAAAAAAAATTTGTACATAACAAAAATTATTTAATAAAAAATATTATTAAAAATTAAAATAAGAAAAAAATAAAAAAATAATATTTTATAAGTTTTTACTAACAAAGTTGCTTTCCTGCGAATAGTAGAAGAAAATATGGTATAACAGAAAAGAAAACTAAATAAAATTGTTAAAAATTGTTATTAAAAAAATTTCAACTCTAAAATATTCAAAAATACAAAAAAAAAAGATTATTGTAATAAACGCGAAACAAAGAAATAAATAACAAAATAATATAAAAAATTTTTACGAGAGAGAAACCCTCTCTTGCCCTCTCTTACCGTCTTGCTGTTTTTTTTTTTGGTTTTAAGTTTGTTCTTGTTTTTTATGTATTTTATTACTCTAATTCTACTATTTATTATTAATATTATTGTGAATACTATATATATGTACATATAAACGAAATTTTCAACTATACTATTGTGAATAAAAATATTTCTGAATTTAAAACAAATGAAAAAAAAAAGGAATTGAAAAAAATATTTTTTGCTGCTATTTTTTTTTTTTAAATATTTACGATTTTGAATAAGTAATTAATAATTAAAAATTTTAAAATTAATAAAATAAATAAACAATAAAAAATAAAATAAAAATAAAATTCAAAATAATTAAAAAATTTTCAAATTAATTCACAATAAAAAGTTAAAAATATTGAAAATATTTTAAGAGAAGAAAGCAAAACAAAATTAATTTTAAATATTAATAATTAATTAAAGAAAAAAGAGAAAGGAGTAAAACAATTTTTTATATAAAATTCAAAGTATAAAATAAAATAATATTTTTTTGATTTTGTTTATATATATATATATATATATATATATATATATATATATATATATATATATATATATATATATTTATATATTTATAACTGACATACATTTGTACACATACATAATTTAAATATTTATTTTTGAATTTTATTTTTTGTTTTACTCATACATATATTTATTTACGTATAGTTTAATATACAAAATTTATATTATTACTGTATGAAATACTTTATGTATACTTACGTGCTTGTATATTTTGTTTACACTTATATCTATATTATATCCAATTTATGTAATATTATTAATATATTATGAAAAGTATTATATTAGATTATTATAAATTTAATTTCAGAAATAACACTTAATAAGATAAGATAAGAAAATAAGAAAAAGAAACAAAGAATTACGTGCGATAATAAATTTTCCGTGTTAATTTTTCTTTACCTTGAAATTTTCACAAAAGAAATGGAAACAATAAGAATTAAATTATTTTTATTAATTATAAAGAATTTAAAAATTATGAAAGTCTATATAAGTTTGTTCGATTTCTATATTTATTAATGTACTCTTATATTTATGAACTCTTATATTTATTAATGTTCATAGTTTTAAAGATTTTGCAATATGGATGCTTATGAGTTAATTTCGACTAAAAAACTTGTAGTCTTATAATATGATTTTCAGCGAAAGGGATTTTCTTATGAATATTTATTTTAATTATACAGTTTTTTTTAAATTTTTTAAAATCACAAGGAACTCAACAATTTATTTTATAATTTTAAAAACATGTCTAATTAGAGAATTAAATTATATTCTTCATTATCTCCTAAACAAAATATATTAGAATCCTATGAGCAATCTCTAAATAACTGTGGAAATATTGCTCCTCGTCCAAAATTATGAGTATTTCATGAATAAATTGTAATAATTTTCAATAAACGAAGAAAAGTCTTTTAATCTTTTACATCCTGGGAAAGTGATTTTGCCAAATTGGTCCAGTTGAAAATATTGTTTACCATTATTAATATTCAAACAGTTTCACATAAGTGTTATACAAAAAATTTTTTAATAGTTTGCTTTTGTTTTCTTTCAAAATACAAAAATTAGTTTTTTAATTTGTAAATTCCAAATTTTAATAGAAATTCTACTATTCTAATACTCATACGACACACAAACTACGTTTCTAATTTTTATTTCAATTAAAAAATATTCAATTTTCAATTAACCTTGAATAAATACGTACACGTTATGTACACATATTAATTGATTATACAGATTCATATATTCTATATGTAGAACCTTAAAAAAGATTTTAACGCAAACAATTTTAAAAAAGTGGGCTCATTTTTTTTTCTCATTTTAATCAAAAGGACATTCTTTTTCATTAAAAATGCGAAAAGTGTTTTTTAAATAGGTTCTTCTTTTAATTTTATATATAATTATTCAAGTACATCCTTTATGTTATTATTATGTACTAGACATTTAATATGTAGACTAACACTTGAAATGCATTCAACTTAGAAAGAAAAAAAAAAAAATTGGAAAATTTATTTTAATTGTGAAAAATACTTAAATTAATTTAAAGTTTATATAATTAGACTAATTGCGTGTACTTTGTTTCTGTTTAAAAAAGACAAAAATTAAAAGAATTTTTTTTTGTTTTAAATGAGATTTTTAATGAAAGTGAATTTTATTTTTTAATCACTATGTGGAACTTGAAAATTTTTATGAAACTAATTATAAGAATCCTTTTTTATGTGATATGCAAAGAAGAACAAATTATCATTCATTAAGAATGTTCATTCATTAAAACTTTTAATAGATGCAATTTGAAGAAAATCGAATTTGATTTATTGTTGTTTTCGAAATAATTTGTTTAATAATGAAAATTCGTAATATTCGAACAGCAAATTTTAAAAATTTGATTTGATAAGGCGAATTATATATTCTAATTCAAAAATTGTTAGTGTATTATTAATTAATTTTAGATATGATCAAATAAGTCGCAAAATAATAGAAAAAACCTGAAAAATTTATATAAAATTAATTTATTTTAAAGTTAATATTTTGTAATTCACTTTGTATCTCACAATTTTTTAGTGAGAATTCTTATTTTCTCAATTAATTAGATTATAAGAATACGTTGAGAATTAAGAAAATCGATATAAGATGATTATTTAAAAATTCTCAAATATGCCACAAAATGCCAACTTCCAAATAATATTTGTGTCAAAATTTGCATATTCTCACTGTAGAATTAAAAAAAAAAAGTTACATAACATAGCCGGAAAATTTTCGACCCATTTCAATTTTTACCATCTATTATAAGAAGTATATGATTTTCTTAACCTCCTCGCAGTCTTCCGGTACTCCAGTGAGTGTAATGAGTTTGATTAGTGTGTTTACGGGCATAAGAAAATATACCTTTATATCTGTAGTATAAGAAATTTACAAGTTCAAATATCAATTTAAAAATTTTTTTAATAAATGACAGTTTTCCAGCAACAAACAAAGAAAAGAAAATTTGCACTTTACTCTAAAATTTTTATAAAAAAACTTAAAATGATTATTTTGCAAAAACAATAACCAATAAATTTTTTTTTTTTCTGAAATTTTTATAATAAAAATTCTTTTTAAAATTTCTAACATTTTTCATTTTTCTCTATACTTTTCCTTTTTATTAAACTTATTTGAGACGTGACAAAATTTTATTGAAATTAAAAACAGAAAGCAAAAAACTTTTTTTTTTTTTTTCTGAAAAATAGTAACAAAAAGTGCTCATAAATGCTCAAAGATTTCTTAATAGGTTAAAGACATTTTAAATTGAAAATCAATGAAAATGTCATAAAATAGAGCAAAAATAAAAAGGTTCACTTTGAGAAATTTTTAATTAAAATTCAATAAAAAAAATATTTAAATTAGTTATAGTTAAAATTCATAAAAAGGAAAATCATTGTAGTTAATTTCGTTATTTTACAAGGTAATATTGCAAATTACCTATTAAATATTGAAAAAAAAAAATCATTATTATTATTCGGTATTAGATTTATATAGTATGAATATTCCGATGCTATACCAAATAGTATGGAAATTTTCTCTCTGGCATTGGTCTCGAAGAGTGGGGTTTTTGAAAAATTCTAATATTTGCAGAGCACTTCAGAAGCACTTTTCAATGGAATGGAATCTTATACTTGTCGCCACCCGTACATTGGCTAAAGTATTTGATGATCTTTTACGTGAACAAGGCTTGGATTATATTTTGGATTTGAAAAGTTGCCCTTTTTTTTTTTTTGTGGCTCTGCTGACCAGAATTCTTCGTACGTCGAAGTCGGAAAAAAAAAAAAAGTAGAAAACAGGATATACTCGTAATAGAATCAAATTTCGCCGAAAAACATAATAGTATTCATAGACCTTCACATACAGTAACAACGCTACAACATACATAGGCTTCATGTTTCTTTGCTTTCTAGAATCTAAAGATCGTGCGAAGTTATCTTAAAAATCAAACAGAATATTATAGACTTGTAGCAAGTAACATAATAAAATTTTGTTACGCCGTAAAATATGCAATATTTAATTAATTTTCTAGAAATATTTTCTTTCAATTTCAATATTCTTTCAATATTCTCTTAGTGAAAAACAAATAAACAAACAAAAAATCCTCAAATAACTTGTATAATTACAAAACATTTAAAAAATATATAAAACCTATTATTAAAAACCTATACAATATAATTAATAGTAAGTAAAAAAAATTCAACATTTTATAAACCAAATAATTAAGTGATTAACAAACAACAATTTTTATAATAAATTTTTCATATTGAAATTATTATTAATAATGGAGAATTAAATATTTTAAATAATAAAATAAATATGAAAAGCACAAAAAAAAAACTAAAAATCCTTGAATTGAAAAACAAAAAAAAAGTAATAGGGTCGTGTGGTTGTGTGGTGTGGTGTGTTTTTTTTTTTTGCTTCCTGTTTTTATTTTTTTCTTATCTTATTCCATTTCAACAATAATAAATTTTAATTAAAATATAAAATAAAATATAATTTTTAAATGCCACTGTTTACATATATATATATACATATGTATATATATATATATGTAAACATAATTATTAAAGAAAAATATATTTATGGAAAATATAAAAATAAAATATAAAAAATGAAAACTATAAAAAAAACGAAAACAAAATATTAATAATAAAATAAAATAAAAAAAAAACTAAAAATGAATAAACAAAATAAATAAAATATTAATAAAAAAACAAAAAAAACAAAAAAACAAAAAAAAATATTTACAACTAAACTTCAAATATAAATGGTGTGTGTGTATGTAAAAAAGTATGTAGTGAAAAAATTTTTTCTCTCAAGGACAAAAGGGACATAAAACTGTCAAAAAGGCACCAAAAAGATTTCTTCACAAAACAGAAGAAACAGAATAGAAGAAGAATAGAATCGAAAAACATAAAAAAACAGAAAGAGAAAACAAATAAATAAATAAAAAAAAAATGCTTTTTTCCATTCCAAATTTGTAATTCGAACACAAAATTTTTCTGTTTGAATTTTCTTCTTCACTCCAATTTCTCTCTTTCCCTCTCTCTCTTCCTACACATTTTATTTTTTTTTTGGTTATTTTACTCACAATTTCCCTATAATCTAAATCTACGTGTATTAAATTTTTTTTTTTTGTTGTTAATAATTATATTTGTATGTAGAAATATTAACATTATAATATACAAGCACGTATTACATATATATATATATATAAATGCATACAGTATATATTTATTTATAAATATGTAAGATTTACTATTTAATCCAGTCACAAAGTCGTAAAAAATTCTCACCAAATTAAGCAACAAAATTATCAAAATCACAAAACAAAAACCAAAAAAAAAATAAAAAAAAAACAGTGAAGAAAAAATTCTAAAATAAAGGAACGTGTACAATAAAAATAAAATAATAAAATCAAAATCAGAAAAAAAAAAAGTGAAATTCTAGAAAAAAAAGAAAAGAAAAAAAAAGGTATCATTTTTTAATACACAAATGCCAACAAGAACAATACATGTGTGTGAGAGTGAAATGAAATAAAAAAAAAAAAGAGAAAAGTAAAATAATAAAAAAAAAAATAATAATCAAAATATAAGAGAAACGGGGCAGAAAAGAAAAAAATTATTTTCTTTGTCAATACACGCTATGTTCGAAACTAATCAGGTGAAAATGAAAAAAATTTTTTTTTTTATTTTTTTTTCTTACATTTTAAGCTTTAATAAAAAAAATATTTTTTTTTTTTTATATTTTAATAATAATTTTTTTCCTATTTTTTTCTTTTGAACATAATATTTTTCTTATATTTCTCTCTCTATCTCTCTCTCTCTCTCTTGCTCTCTTTATACAATATTATTTGTTAATTCTCATTATATATTCAAAATAATATAAAATCCTTTTAACGCTTAAGTTAAGTTAAATAATGATTAAGTATGAAAACAAATAAAAAAGAAACCGAAAGAAACGTAAATGTTATAAACATTTAATCAGTGTTGCCAACTCTTTTTTGCTCAATTTACTAGACTTAGTTTAAAATTCCCATTTCTTCACTTTCCAAACCCTATATTTTTTCTTCATATAATTTCCCTTTATGAAATTTTTTATTTATACACATACATTTAGCATTATACTTAAATAAAATGCTTATTTAATCATTTAATAAAACAAAAATAATGCATTTATTCAATTGCATAACTTAATTAATTATGATTAATTAAATAGGTACTTTCAAATTGCAATATTTGTAATACTATATCAATTTAAGAGCTTCAAAATAAATAATAGAATGTTTTATTTGTGTTCAAGTGTCAAATCTGCATTTGGAGGACACTCCAAATAAAATTTCCATAGAATTTCCCATGATTTTTGGCATTTTTCTCTTTAAGGTTTCAAAATTTCCTCAAAATGGGAAATTTTCTCATGGTTTTGCAACAATACTTTTAATATATGAAAACATTTTCAGAAATTTGAAAAAAAAATTGGAAAAGAATAATGAGCTTAAATAGATAAATTATTATTGCATTGCATGTGGTGTTAAATCGAAGAGAGAATAATATAAACAATAATATTATAAGAAATTGTTTATGTTTTTAGTTTTAAATTTAATTCGTTCTCATCAGTTGTCACTTATTATAATCAATATTTTAAGTATTTTATTTAATTGAGTTAAAGAACACAATAGCAATAAAAAAAATTTAATTTAATTTTACTCTTTCATAATATATATAGTATAGTATGTAGAGCAATATTAGCTTGATATACATAATTACTTTCATATCACAGTAAAATGAGAAGAGTAATTTCGTTGTTTCTTTTTTGAATTCAATTTTTGTGTCGTAAAAGTTTAAACGAAAAAAAAATTGTTTTTTTTCATTTGTCATCGGTATTTTCATATCAACATTAATACGAGTATTTTGAGTACAATTTCTCCGTAATAATATAATGATTTTCATTTTAGTTTTTTTGTTCCATTTTATTGAATTCAAGGAAGGCTTGATTTAAAGATCGAGGCCCCTCTTACTATTGTTACAAAAAACATGAATGAAAGGAAAATTGAGTTGAAGACAAAAATTTTAGTCAATTAAACTTTCTTTAATTTCATATAAAAATTATTTAAAAAAAAATTTCGAGTGCCCCCAATTTATAATTTTAAAGTGAATATTAAAAAAATAAGATAAGATAGTTTACTTTCACTGTTGTTGGTGGCGTTTCTGGTAAAATAAATTTTATATTTCAGTAGAAGCCACCTAGACGGCTACAGCTATAGTTAATATGTAATTTCTCTTGTGTTGTTGCAATTTAGTGGATCGGATTTGTGTTCGAATCTTTGGTCCGATTAAACAAACCGTATTTCGTTCTTATAAAAATTTCATTAAGTCACAAATCATTTACTCTAAGACTTAAGCTAAATTAATAGTTTTTTTTTTATAAAATGTAAAACTTTTCTTTATTTTTAATTTAACTTAAATTAAATATGCTTTTCTCTTAAAATATTCGAAATTCTTTTTCAGAGAAAAAACGTCATAATAACGCAAATTGTAAAATCAAAAAAAAAAAAAAATCTTTTGAATCATTTCATAATTTTTTGAATAATTTTCTCTATATAATTTTCCTTTTAGCTTAAAAGAAGAAAAACAAAAAAAAATCTTTTTCCTTTTAAAATATTACAAATTATTATACACACAGGCACACGAACCCATAGACGTGTGTATGCGTATATGAGCAAGATTAAAATATAAGAGTAAAAATTCTATGAACTAAATTAAAATAAAAATTTAAGCTTCATAGGCTTAGAGGAAGGAAGAATTTTGCTAAACTTTGTATAAATTTTTTTTTCTCTTCTATTTCTTTGGCAAAGAACTCTTGTGTGTTTGTTGATGTATGTATGTATGTCGATTGTAATTATGATAATTTTATGTCTGGTAATTGCAAAAAAAAATATAAGTATGTATTTAAAAGTAGGCAAATATGTAGCCTTAAACAACGTTTATAAAAATTATTTCACTTTTCAGTTTTTGCAATTTTGAAAAGTATTTAAAAAGAATTTTTTTTCTTAATTTTCTCTCTTGTGTTTTTTTTTTTTGTTTTAAAGTCGTTCAACCTCTAATTAAATGAGATTTCATGGACATTACGTACATAGTAGATATGTATATGGTATAATCTCTTCTTGTATACCAATATGTAATTATATGTTCTCAATTATCTAGTGTTCTTTAATCTTCTTGGTAATTAATATATGAAAAGTATGACAGTGAACTGTTATGTAAATATATGTGGTGTGAAAGTTTTTTCGTTATATCCACTTCCCCTCTCTTCCCACTCTTTGATTATATTATTGTGATGAGAAATAATAAAGTTTTGGAAATTAAATAACATAGTGAGAAATAATATATTTTTTGGAATTAAAGGCATTAGAATTTGAATGGTTTGAGTGATACTTAATTGAAACCGGTCACAATTTACGAGTATATTGAAATTTAATATGTGAAAAAATTAATGTACATTTAAATAATTGAGTTCTTCTTTAGATAACAGAATATAAATAACTTGTGTGAGTGGTTTGATTCTCAGCTAAAACGGAATATTCACACATATGATGTAGGGGAAAAATTGCGAGTGGTTGCTGGAGTGTTCAAAAGACTGCCACTATTAATTCCAAATGAGGTAAAAATATCGATTCTTCATTCTATATTTAATAAATAGCCCAAATCCTGTGGGATTAAATTATGGGGAATATAAACCAAAGAAATAATTAATGCTCAGCAAACGATCCAAAACCGAACGATAAGAAACCTTTTAAATTATAATTGAAGAGAGCATACTCAATTTATTTATCAAATAAATAGTATATTCTTAATTTCTCAGAAAATTAAAAATTTTACTAAAAATTTATCAAGAAAATTAATTTTCATATTCGCCTAAATGAAGGCAATTTTTTTAAATTTTAAATTTTCTAAAAATTTTATTATATTTCTTATTAAGTTTAATTATAATTCGAATAGAATAAAAAAATTTTAATTAAAATTTTATTAAATTTTTTAGCAATTTATGTTTCGTAGAAAAAATTATCTTATTGTGCCGTACCAATGGTCCCAACAGCGCTTTCCACATAGCGTTATTTCTACAATACAAATTAAAAAATAAATTTTATTGGAAGTAATTAGTTGAAATTTCGTAAAATTAATTAAACTAGTTTGTTATATGAAATTATTCGGAACGAACATGAACGAATAAGACTTGATTCGTGTCAAAGACGATAGGCATCAAAGATGTCGACGATCTGCGAGCGCTATACCTTGAGATAACCAATTGTTTTCTATTATATTGTTTGTTATTGATACTGAATATGAATCGTTCCATACTTTAATAAAAAATACAGGAGCTTATCTCATACTGGCATAAATTTATATTCATAAATTATTGACTTTGTAGAATCATAAGCAATTGTAAACGTCTAATTAGGCCAAAGAAATATTCGTGTTTTCTTTATAAATAATTAGTGTTTTAATACTATAATACATGTATACTATGTGCTAATTTTTAATAAAACTTATCCTATATATAAAGATTTTAAATACTGTATGTAAATATAATCCTAAAATTGACCTGAAAAATTTCATTCTTATCTATGGCTAACTATTAATATATGCATTTTTTTTTGGTCAGAGTTTAAAAAGTTATACATAATTTTGAATTTCAGAATTTTTACATTCAAAACACTTTAAAAAATCTCACTTAGAATATTTTTACAATAAGACCTTTTTAATTTTCTCTGTATTTTTTATTTTATAACTTTATATGACTTAATTAAAGAATAACCACAATAATTATCAGCATAAAATGTGCAACATATACATATGTGTATGTATTTAGTATATTGTGTACAAAATCCCTAATTTGAATAGTAAGGCTTATTGGATTATCTCTCTATCTATCAGAAAAAAAAATGTAAATTCTAACATTATTAAATTACCTAGGTATGTACATAAAATATTGTATGTAATTGTATTTGTAAATTTCCTATTATGACATTTTTTATAATACATTATACAAATGTGTTATATTTGTGTGTTCACTGTGTATAACATTTGTATGACAAGTGTGTTTTGTTCTGTATATTACTAATATTATTATTGATTTTTTATCGTCTATGTCTTTTTTTTATCCTAAATATATATAAAAATTTATTGATTAAATAAATGCAACTAAAACTATTCATAAAATACAAAAGAATAATAAAAAAAAATTAAAAATGAAAAAAAAACATCATTTCCACAAAATCAATTTATATAGACAGGGGCGGTTTCTATAAAATTTTTTCACATTTTTTGAGTGAGGCTTAATAAGTACAAAGTAATAGTAGGGGTAGAAATTTTTCAAGATCTGGCAAAATTCACAAATGAATTTAAATATTACAAATCAGACAACTTTACTATTTAAACTGACGCAATTATATGATAAAACTTCTTAAATTTAACCCCTTCGAGGCGGGGAATAAATCACGCGAAATTTTATAACGTATAGTTTGCAATTTTATCGCTTGAGCTTCCATGTCAGTTATTAGTGGAAATAAATTAATTGTCATAAGCTGCGCCCAAATATCTTCAACGATTCCAGAAATGGTCAGCTATAAAATAGTTTTAAATCGTTTGTTTGCATATTATTAG